CAGACATCCAGCAACAATCATGACTGATCTAATTCATCCATGGCTTGTTTTGGCTCTTCTTATGCTCAAAGGCAGATCAATTTTATTAAGTAGTAAGAAATAAGGCGAAGCTACTGTTTTTCTGCCTATAATTAAAGGTCTGCACCAGATTAGTGATGTGGATCCATCATATACATCCAACCTGTCATAATCATGCCTGTGTCAATGGCTGAAATGTAACCTGCAGCAGCTTTCAAGGGGGTCCACTCATGTAAAGGAATTGACTCATTCAGATTTTGCGGCAGAGGCTTTCGTCTAAAAGTGTGTCCGAGAGTGGGAAGGTAAGCAGCCTAGAGTCTCCTTCAGTCCTGGCCTGACAGACGCGCCGCCGTTAGAAGCCGGCTGCCGTTGCTTGAGAAACTGCGCAATTTGCGCTGACGAAAAGCGAGGCCGAACGCCCCCGGCGGCGCGATGACAAAACTCAGGCGCCTGTTTCATTAATTAGCGCAGTGTACGCCTCTAACGTAAAAATGCCCGATACATTTACGCTCCTTCTTCGCTCCGCCTTTCTAAGTAGCTAAAGCGGTGGCGAGCCTGCTTGGAATGGGAACCTGAGCCCCCCACTCAGTTGAAACGGTTAGGAAGTGAGGGTGTGGTCGATGGAGTTAGCCAATGACCGGTCGAGAGTCTTGGAGTGAAGGGGAAAGACTCGCCAATCAGAACGCACAGGCAGTTTAAAGGGCGTTGAAGGAGGCGGGCGGGCATTTGAATTCAAACGGCGGTGGAGCCTACCGGACGGAGTGTGGAGGTGAGGTGGCTTTCAAGAAGGGCGGCTGGTGGATGGCGGATGGCGGGGCTGTCGGGAGTAAGTGCTAACGGAGAGAAGCTTTTTCCCAAGCACTGGCGCCCACCCGTTTGGTGGTTTCCATGAGCGTTATCATAGAATAGGTGTGATGGCCGGGGAGGATGGGAGTTGTATTCTAACCGGTATAGGGATTAGTATTTTGGAACATCGTGGGAATGTAGCCGTTTCATTATTAAACCGTTAAACCAAGGTGAAAGGTATGGCGAGGACTAGATGATGTTCTAAAAGAGCCCTTGTAAATGACTTGCCAGTGATTTTGTTCAAAAGTTGCTTCCGTTGGAATAAGTCTCTTTTCAATTCCTTTAAAATGCTACCCAAGACTTGGTTTTCTTTTTTTCTTTTTTTGCCTGCCCTTTGGTCTTACCTGCTGTCTAGCCTGTTTTTAACCCTAAAGGCTCTGACCATTATTTAAACTTTCTTGGCAGACTCTCATTTACCAGAAAGAAAACTAGTAATATTCCTTATTGCATTATGTACTACAATAATTACCTAGACACCTTTGTTTCTGAGCAAATGGGCATACTTCCACCAGAACCTGGACTGCAGTTATCCACCATGTTAATTTTAATTTTCTAAGAATGCCTCTGAAGTCTTTGTAGACTCTAGTCTAGAGGCATTCTTGGGGCAAAATGGGGTTTTATTTTGCAGCAAAATTCCTTTTAAAAATGCTGAGTTCCAGCTCAGAGATAATTAGTTAATTGGCACCATATTGTGGTTCCATGATTTAAAATATCTGTGAGAACAAATGTGGGTTCTGAAAAGTATATTGAATGAAAATTATGAAACCATTCAGACAAACCAACATGAGCTTAGGCTTGTGTTTTTCAAATCTTTGGAAATTTTATGTCTCATCTATTCTTGTTCCAGGTGAAAACCTAAAAATTAACCTTGAGTCAGGTATATACATTACCATGGATAAGCATCTGCCTTTGTAACTTCAGAGAGAGCACAGTTATAAAGCCTTTTTAGCAATTCAGTTTATGTTATTGAAATGCTTTCATAACTAAAACTGCATTGAATAATAATGATAAAGTTGGAAGGGACCTTGAAGGTCATCAAGTCCAACCCCCTGCTCAGAAAGGAAATACTACACCATTTTGGACAAATGGCTATCCAGTCTCTTCTTAAAAACTTCCAGTGTTGGAGCATTCACCGCTTCTGGAGGCAGGTTGTTCCATTGGTTAATTGTTCTAACTGTCAGGAAGTTTCTCCTTAGTTCTAAGTTGCTTCTCTCCTTGATTAGTTTCCATCCGTTGCTTCTTGTCCTGCCTTCAGGCGCTTTGGAGAATAGCTTGACTCCCTCTTCTTTGTGGCAACCCCTGAGATATTGGAACACTGCTATCATGTCCCCCTTCGTCCTTCTCTTCATTAAACTAGACATACCCAATTCCAGCAACCGTTCCTTATATGTTTTAGCCTCCAGTCCCCTAATCATCTTTGTTGCTCTTCTCTGTACTCTTTCTAGAGTCTCAGCATCTTTTTTACATGGTGGTGACCAAAACTGGATGCAGTATTCCAAGTGTGGCCTTACTAAGGCATTGTAAAGTGGTATTAATACTTCACGTGATCTTGATTCTATCCCTGTGTTAATGCAGCCCAGCACTGTGTTGGTTTTTTTGGCAGCTGCAGCACACTGCTGGCTCATATTTAAGTGATTGTCCACTAGGACTCCGAGATCCCTCTCACAGTTATGACTATTGAGCAAGGTACCCTCTATATTATACCTGTACATTTGGCTTTTCTTGCCTAAATGTAGAACCTTACTTTTTTCACCATTTCACCATTTCTTTGCCTGTGTGATGTATATTGTACTGTGCATTATATAGATAAATTAATGTTACTTCCTTGAGGTCAGAGTTCATGCAGTATGAGGACTTAATTTTTCCAAGGATTACTAATATGAATAGGTTGAAGATATTGAAGTGAAGTCTCAGATAGCATGATGAAAAGTGAGTGACAAAAGTTTTTTATGTTATACATATGAATGTCTGGATTTTTTGTTCCTCAATATAGTAATGGACAAAATGAATAAAGAAAACCAAAATGGACATCTACATAACAGCAAGGTAAAGTGACCCCTTGTGTGTATTGGGTGGTGTAATTCTTGCCTTTTTAGATCTCACCATTGCACTGCCCCATGCAGTCAGGTTTAGACGATTGTCAATGGGCTTGTATTTACAATCCATTATGGTTGTGTGATAGCCATTGGTTAAGTTGGATTCGCACTTACAGCTATATTATTCATTTACTGACCATGTCATTTGCTTAATTACCACAGAAGCTGGACTTATGACCTTCATAAAAATGGTTGTAAAATCTGGTCGGGTCACATGGTCTGACCCGAATGATTTATGACCAAAATTCTGGTCATAATTATAGCTGTAAGTTGAAGACTACTTGTAGTAAACTTTTGCTATTTAAACCTGGGGTCTCCCAATCCCTAGGCATGGACCAGCACTGGGATACAGGTAGCACACAAAACCATGCCCCCCCTCCAGTCTGCAGAAAAATTCTCTCCATGGAACCAGTCCCTGGTGCCCAAAAGGTTGGAGGCCACTGATTTAAACTATGAACTTCCAAATACTATAGGGCACCAGGGTGCCCTATAGTGGTCTTATGCTGAAAGAAACCAAATCTTAAGAAATTTGCAACTTCTATTTTTCCTTAGGTGCCTGAAACAGTATTCAAAGTTGTGTTTTTATTTTTTTTAAAAAAAATCAGGTAGATGGTCCAAAGAGGATTCCTATGTCCCAGAATCGGGCAGCGAGGACTAGAATTCCGTCGCAGCATATTTTGACTGCTTCAAATGTGCCCCAGAGAGTGCCTATTCAATCCCAGGCACAGAAACCTGCTGTTAGCCATCCAAAATATTCCAACCACCTAAGTCAGCAGCGACCAACATCTGCAGTTCAACCAACATCCAGGAATTTAGTTTCAAATAAACCTGGTATAATTCCTCAGCAGCCTTCTGCATCGGGTAAGTACTACTGTTTCAGTTATTTCTAAACTTTATAATAGTAAGTACTACTGTTTCAGCGATTTGTAGTCATCATAGAAAAATCTATTGATAATTACAATACAGGTAGTCCTTGAGTTAAGACCACTAGTTCAGTAACTGTTAGTAGCTGAATGAAGGGACTTGCAATTGGTCACTGAAATTATTGACATTGCAATGCCCTCATGGTCACGTGATCATTATTTATGCATTTGGTGACATATTTCAACATGCAAATGGTTCCCAAGCACTCTACAATCATGGCATCTCTTTTGCAACCTTTCCTGCTGGCTTCCTTAGAAAGCCAGTGGGGAAACCAACATGGAAGGTCACGACTCACTGGAATAAGTCTTTACCCATGCTGTTCCCCAGCAATTCTGCACTTGTGCCATATTGTCCATTCACATCGTTCCTGAGCTACATGGTGCCTCTAGCACTCCTTGCATCCTTGTTCACTTCTCCATTCTCTTTACCACCTGACAGCAGCCACTTGCCTGCCAGTCATCCTGGGACTTGTAACTTCCTGCTGGCTTTCCCAGTGACTTTCAAGGAAGCCAGCAGGACGTTGCCTCACCTAAAGCCTGTGGCATTCATTTAATGACAGCAACTGGGTCTTCAAGGAATTGTTTTACTAAGCAATGAGATTATGCTTTGCGACTATATCGCTTTGCAATGGAAATTGTCCTAAATCAAGGACTATCTATATATAATAAAGAGCAAAAAAAGAAGCTTTAAAATAGTATTGGAAAATATAGTGAATTGCCATATACTTTCAACCTAAAATCTTCCACAAAAATATGACTGGTTAGTTAGTGTTGGTACAGGTAGTCCTCAACTTACGACTGGCCTAAGGTACAGGGCTAGAAAGTGTTTAGGGACCTTTCAAAGTTACAACATTGCTGAAAAATACCTGGTCCTCATACTTAAAACTGTTGCGGTGTCCCTGCAGTCGTGTAATCAAAATTTGGGCACTTGTAAGCAGCACGTATTTACAATGGTTGCGGCATCCAAGGGTCATTTGATCAACACTTGCAATCTTCCCAGCTGGCTTCCAACAAGCAAAGTCAATGGGGAAAGCTGAATTTGCTTGATGACCATATGATTCACTTAACAAACACAATATTTAAATAAATGCTTAACCATGAGGTTAAGTAGTCTTAGCTGCTTTCTCTTTATTAAACATTTGTGAGTAAGAAATATGAACATAGTAAATAGTGCTTTCTCGGTAATGTATCTACTCATTGCAATATTCATTTCTAAATGTGGATATTTGTATTTGCAAAATCATTAGTTAAAAGATTCTTAAAACTGCATGAATCATGCAAATCGAATCAATGTAAGAAGATCTTTGCATGTGAGACGAATGGAAGGTTAGAGATTATTTTGGGGATTACTTAGGGGAATCAATATTCTTCCAGTTGGTGCTGAAAACTTCTTCCAGAGTATCACAAAATGTTGGCTATGAGCTATGAGTACTTTATATATCTAGAGCAGATACAATATCTTAAATATGGCTGGCTGGCTAGCAAGAAATCCTTAATTCTAAGTAATGATGTGTCCATCCTGAGCTATTTTGATTACGGTACTACATAATTTCTAAAGATAAGTAGAATACAGATAAAATTGCCAGGCAAGAGTGTTAATTTAAAGGTGTTCATCTTTATATAAAGGTGTGTTCGTGTATGTATAGCCAATCCTCATTTAACAACTACTTCAGTTACCATTTGCAAATATAATGGTGAAAAAACAATAGTAAAAAGGTAGTAAAAAAAATTCTCTCCAAAATGCACACTTATGACTAAATTTCTGTGCCTAACAAGGCATACCAGAGTCTAATGCTGGGTTGGTGCACAAGAGAACTTTATTTGAACGAGATAGCAACACCCAGCAATTTTCACTATCTTCTCCGTCACAAGTTGTTTCTAGAATGGATTACTGTGGCTAAACAGAGATCATACATCTTTAATTTTTGCATCATCTATAAAGTACACGCTCCTCAAAACCTGCCACAAAACAAACTGCTCATTTTTTTTACTTCAGAGCTTGCTTTTAGAAAATTTACCTTTCCTATGCACAGGAAAAAAGCCTGGAACTGAGGATGTATCAGCTGCAACAACTGAAGCCAAAGGAGCTTCAGGTTCAAAAAGCGAGAGCAAAGAGGAATCAAAAAGTGAAACTAAAAGGTCAGTTTTTACTTTGTTTCTGTGGGTGGTTATATACAAAGGTTTGTACGCTTCTTATTGGGAGAATCAGATGGATCTAAGCCCGTGGTGGCGAACCTATGGCACGCATGCCACAGGTGGCATGCAGAGCCCTCTCTGTGGGCACGTGCATCGTCGCCCCAGTCCTAGGCCTTCAGCTGGGTTTTATAAAACCTTTTGGCTTTAAGCCTCTGCCGCCATGTGCAAAAAAAAAAAAGGTTCAATCAATTTCAACTTCTCGCGGGGAAAAAAAAGATCTTGCAAAGTTGGAATTGATTGGTTGAACTTTTTAGTCCCACCCAGTCTGCTGTTACCACCAAAGCCACGCCCACCCGGCACCCGACGATACATAAGTGGGTTTTGGGTTGCAGTTCGGGCACTCGGTCTCTAAAAGGTTTGCCATCACTGATCTAAGCTGTTAGCCTTATGTAAAGGATTGAAAACTTGGCTGTTTCCCCAGGCATTTGAGTCAGCTGGTTAGATGAGCTCTACTCTTGTTAATGCATATGTATATTTTTTTCTTGTGAGTGGGGTTATTATCCTTGGGATTTTATGTTGTAGGGTTTTTTTGTGTTATTTTTCAAGTCAGAACATTTGCATACCTATAAACATTTATGTAAATACAGTCTTACTGAGAATGGTCTTCAAAGAAAGCATTCTCTTCTACATTCGTCAGGAAACAAAGTGCTTTTGCCTATCCCACTGTGCCTCTAACCTATCCCCACAAAAAGTTTGTTATTTATAAGGATTTCCTATACAAATTGCTAAGTTTAAGGAGAGAACAAAATGTTCTTATTTCATATTCTAATGCTTTTTTTTTTTTTTACAATAGAAAACAATGGTTCCTTGAGGACTTTGAAATTGGCCGTCCTTTGGGAAAAGGAAAATTTGGAAATGTGTACCTGGCTCGAGAAAAACAGAGCAAATTCATTTTGGCCCTGAAGGTCTTGTTTAAATCACAGCTGGAAAAAGCAGGTGTAGAACATCAGCTGCGGCGAGAAGTAGAAATACAGTCTCATCTTTGGTAAGGTTGAATAAAAATACAGATGGGTAGCCTGGAGGCCATATACAGTAAACCAGGCTTACATTGCCAAAATAGGATAGTAAAAGAGTAAATATTCAGTAGTACAATTATTGTTCAGAATTAAAGGTAAAAGTCAGAGGTGGAGACCTCTGGGAAGGGATTCTAATTCTCCGTTTTCTCTTACCCACACAGAGATGGTTTTGGAGACAGGTCTTTGATCCATTTATCAGGTTTTGAGGGTAGGAATGAAAAGTAAAGGCCTTTAGGAGGCCAACTGCTCTCTCATTCTTAAACTATCTCCAAGGCTCTAAATCAGTGGTCCCCAACCTGTCTGGCTTTTCAGACTGGCAGGGGGAGGGGGGACATGGTTCTGTGTGAGTAGCAGGTGTGCGCGCAGCTCCATTTATGCGAGTGGCGGGCACTTGCGCACACATGCAAGTGCCTGCTGCTTGCACAAATGGAGCTGCATGCACGTGTTTACCTGCTACTTGCACAGCCCAGTTCTGAATGGGTTGTGGGCCCAGTACCAGGTTGCAGACCCCTGCTCTAAATTACGCTGAACATTGACCATTTTTGGCCAATGAGAAAGTGATGAGAATAGTTTTCCAGATGTTTCTGTTCTTGTCAAAACCTTTTCAAATAACTGAAAAAACTTGATCCATTTTTTACTGGTAACATATTGAAGAGTTTGCTTGGCTTCAGCCTCTCAATGTTGTTTATTGCTTGTATATAATAAGGAGGGAATTACAGACATGTTTACCTTATTAATAGCAACTGTCTTTAAAAATCCATATGCCTGTTTTGTAGGCATCCCAATGTTCTCAGGCTCTATGGTTACTTCCATGATGCAACAAGAGTATACTTAATGCTGGAACATGCACCTCGTGGAGAAGTGTACAAAGAACTTCAGAAGCTTAAAAAGTTTGATGAGCAACGAACGGCTACTGTACGTTTTGCAAATGGCAATGCATGCTTTTTGTATGAAATACTAAGGCTATTTTTCCTCCCTCTGGAAATGGTGCTCTACTCTAGCGATTTGAATCTAAATATACTGAATAGCTTTGGTTTAGAGATAGGTTTAAAAGAAATAAGTCATTTTGAAATTTTCATGTAGGTTGAAAAGTTCATAGCTTCTCCCGCTGAAACAGGAGGCCAAGTGGGAGATCTTCACTGAAGCTATTTTGCAAATGAAGGCAAATATATGTGTCTCAGGATAATGTTGCAGGATCCAATCTGAGTTGGTCACTGGGACCAGAGAGTTATTCTTCCAAGTTTTCAGACTTGTGCTGGAGCCCATCCTCAGGGAATGTGTGCCTGTTTTGTTTAAAACTTCTGAAATTAACAGAGAAAACAACTTATTTAAAGGTGCTCAGCTTTCATAGAAGAGAATGGAGGTTCAAAGTATAATGGCTATTCATTGTATCTAAATTATGGTGAATCCATGTAACCCAAGTGTTTTGGCTTAGACGTCGACTGCCAATGGCTGTTAATTCAAGATTTTTGTGTATTTTGTATTTTTTTTCTGATTTAAAATGATATCTGGGCAACTTTACAGGCTTATTCTTGAGCTGATTTAATTCGCCCTCTGCATTTCCAATGTAAACCTCATTATTTTCATGTAACGATGGGAGTACTATGATTTTGTTGCAAATTTTTCCATTGGTCATCTGATTTGTATACTGTATGTGCAAAGGGAGTACTGTTTTTCTTGTCCTTTATGGCAGGGGTCCCCAACCCCCGGTCCGTGGACTAGTCCCGGGCCACCGCATGCCAGCAACCGGTCCACACAAACAAGCAAAGCCCCAGGCAGCACACAAAACCAGGCATCCTCAGATCTGTGGAAAAACCTCTCTTCATGGAACCGGTCCCTGGTGCCCAAATGATTGGGGATCTCTGCTTTATGGCATGGTTAGGGATTTTTTTCTTAATGAAAGACCTTTGACAGGGTTTCTAAACATCTTGTTTTTAAAACGCTCTTTAGGCTTTGGAACATTGAAAATGGAAATACAGCTTTGGAGACTTGCAGCTTTTTGAAAGTCTCTTAAAAATTAGCAAAAGAAAAAAGAATGAGGCAACCGGTCTACAAAGAACTTGAGTTAATGGGTGGTTCCCATCCATCATGTGAAAGTAGCAATGAGTGGGGGAGTGGAATAATGCCAACTTGAGGACCGTTGACCCATTTTCAGTAGTTTAAGGGAGATCAAATATTACACTTTCAGAAGACTCCAGAAGTGTATTCCAGAAATACATGCATCTTATCATTGAGGTCTTCAATGTACCTCCTATGGTCTAATCAAATTTTGTTTAATGTACTAACACCTGTTTGCCAGAAAAATGCAAAATAAGTACATTAATTTCTTTGTAATCTTTGGGACAAAGTTACAAACAGTTTACATGATGAAGGCCAATGGTTAGTAAGCATGAGAAACCACAGTAATTTTTGGAGCAGGTTTGTTTTGCATTAAGGCAAACTTCTCTAATTAAACTAACGCAGGCTGAGCCTTCCTGAAATTATGAAATTATGGTGATGCTTCAGTATTTAACTACTAAGAGATCCATAATGGTTAAGGAAAACTTTACATTTCATAGTAGAGACGTTATTTAGCCCAATAATGTAGTAGTTTTCCTGTTCTTTTTGACAGATTTTTTTTTATCATTGTGCCTATAGTAATACAAGATGAATAAATGCTCATTGGCCATATCTGCTTAAATTGCATTATTTGAAATTGTTAAGACTTATTTACAAATGTTGGTTTCTTCTACAGTATATGACTGAACTCGCAGATGCATTATTATATTGTCATTCAAAAAGAGTAATTCATAGGGACATCAAACCTGAGAATCTATTGCTGGGATCAAATGGAGAGCTCAAGATTGCTGACTTTGGATGGTCTGTGCATGCCCCATCTTCTAGGTAGGAGACTCTTTAATACTCAAGTTTGAGTGTAGAATTGGCTTAGAATTATTTGAATATACAATGCACTTTTATAGAAGTAGTAAAGTTTGCAAAAATAGCTAAATAATTCTTTCTGATTGTTTCAGTTGAGGATATAACTCTTAATTTGAAAAGATGTTTAAAGTAGTAGGGTTCATACTGTAATGCTGGCAGCCATGTTTTACAGATGAATACCAAAGTAAATTGGCAAGAGTCAGTTTGATGTAGTGGCATCATGCTAGAAACCACGAGATCAAGTTTGAGTGCCACCTTAAGCATGAAAATCCAGCAGGGTGACTTTGGGTCACTTTTACTCTCAGCCCAAACTCACAAGGTAGTAGTTGTGGGAAAAATAGGAGGAATAAATATGAACATTCACTGCCTTGGGTTATTTATAAAAATAATAAAGGAGTTTAAAAAAAAACCTTCATTCCTATGCCATTCTGTTTCTTTCCCAATTGAAACTCTATTCAGTGGCTTTAGAATTTCAGAGTTGTTACTGTGTGGAGAATCTTAGAATGTACATTTTTGAAATTATATTAGGTAAACTATAACAATCTAAAGAAAACTATTTAATATTTAAATATATAAGAAAGCGGACCACTTTAACTCAGAATTCAAACCAAAATATCATACCAACTATCCTAGCTAATTATGAATGATAAATCAATAGCAAGTTAGTTATGAACGCAATAAATGAAAAAATGCTGATAATATCCTAGAATCCAAGAAGGTAGATGGGAAATGAGGGTCAGTAAAAAGGAACTAAGGGTAATGATATGTAGAGAAGTGTGAGCAATGGAGGACCTATTGTTCTACAAAACAACTTTGGATTTTAATTTAAGATAGGAATGTTTCTTGTGACATCCAAAAATGTCAAGTGCTTTGGGATAAGAGATGGCAGAAAGATTTAGGGTTAGGTAACATTCAAAAACAAAATGTCTTAAAACATGGTAAGAATAAGTAGAGTAGCTTACTATGAGTATTAGTAGCATCTGTCGTGTTTTTAGATAAATAACATGGTTTGCTGACAGCTCTATACTTTCTATCCTAGGAGGTCAACAATATGTGGCACCCTTGATTACCTGCCACCTGAAATGATTGAAGGGAGAACTCATGACGAAACGGTGGACCTGTGGAGTCTTGGTGTCTTATGTTATGAATTTTTAGTAGGAAAGCCTCCTTTTGAAGCAGAAACGTATCAGGAAACATATAGAGCCATTTCAAGGGTAAGTTGAATTTATCTGGCTTGGTGTACCCTATGTTATTTTAGTTTTCTTGCAATCCATGACTCACTCTATATGAGTAATTTTGAGAAGTCTAAAACTGCTTGAACAATTCCCTGATGTTATTCAGGGATTAGAATTTTGTACTTACCAAGCAAATTCAGGTTCAATTCCTGCACTAGTTCCCAGTAACAGTTATTTGGATGGTGCCTTACATTGATATGCAAACTAAATGTTAGTTTTCCACCTGGACTCTACAATGGGAAGGATTGAATGCAGTGCTTTGTGTGTAACTAATTTTCTTTGGTTTAAAGGTGGAGTACAGATTTCCTCCTTTTGTAACAGAGGGAGCACAGGATCTGATTTCAAAGCTCTTGAAGCATGACCCAAAGCACAGATTACCACTGGAAGACGTACTTAAACATCCATGGGTTACATCAAACTCTACTAAGTCTCCCAAGCCTAACACTGAGGAAACCAATGTTGCTAATAAAACTTAGTCATAGCATAATAAGCATTGCTGACTGCATTTCCAAAGTAACAGGGATGGCAGCAATTGTAATACATCTGAAATAAGCAGCATAGAATTTGTCTCAAAAAGAAGTCAGTTTTCTGCATAATGAACTGTTCTATGAACACTATGAAGTCTGAGCTGCAGTTTGAACAGGCATGCTGCAATGCTTGTAGTTCCATTCAAATCAATTTGTGAATATCTGGAACATACTTGAACTCTGTGCATGTGATTCAAAGCTTCTGGGGCACATCTTGTTCAGGACTTTCACAGATAAATAGTTCCTATACTGTTGATCCTCCTTGCTGCTTGATAGCCACATGAAGTTGTTGGAACAGTGCAATAACACCCTAAGGTTAACCTGTGCAGCGATGTGACATGGATGACGTCTGCTTCTGTAAATAAGAGCTAATTGTGCAGTTATTGTGCTGTCTTCAGTTAGGAAATACTTTGAAGAATAAAGACTTTATAAACAATAATCCAGTGCGTTAAGACAGCTTGTTCTTGGATATCTGCTTATTCAGTGCTCAGAGATATTCTGCTTCCTAGGATAACCTTGATAGTGAGCAATTGTACATTTTAAGGTTCTTAAAAGAAAAACTGCATAGACTGTTTTTGATCACCAATTTTTAAATAATGTTGTATTTGTTTAAGCACCAGTAAAACTTTATTACAAAAACATGATGGTTCTGCAGCACTTTTATTTGCATCTGGTGGTACTTAAATTTTAGAATTTACATTTATCCAAACATGTAACACATTTCACTTCAAGCTGCCTGTAAAGTTCAGATAAAGCAAATAATGTTTGATCCTGAAAACACAAGTCCTTGTATTTTTCAATCATTTCTTTTGGCATGTAGTGATTCCAGGCAATTCTCAAAGTTATCCTGGGGTTATGATGAAAATCTAACTAATGCGGTGAGAAAGTGTAATGTTGTGTGACAACATTGTTTTGTGATGGCAATCCCAGCGCACCCTGTTGATGTAGCCCCAGGACTGTGGATTATTAAGCAGGGAGATGTGGGAATGTGTAGTTTTTGTAGCCTCTGGAAGCTTCTTCTGACTATAATAGTTACAAATCAAGAGTAGCCATTTTGCAATAGGAAATATATAAACACTATAAATAGGCACAATACCATTTAAAAAAACTAAACAAAAAAACCATTCCACATCAAAGCACACCAAACTCAAGAAAAATGGTGAATTCTAGTTTCTAACTGCCATATTCTCAAATTGCCCTATTATGTATGCTAATACTATTATCCACTGTCATTAAATTACTCAACCATTTCAGTGTTTGGAAATCCCCCCATGCCTGTAAACTATTATAGGCAGGAAGTGTCTGATACAGGTACTCTGACTTACGGCTGGTCACTTACTGAGTGTTTGAAGTCACTACAGACCATGAAAAAGGGACTTAAGACTCAGATTCAAAGTTCTGATATGCTCCCCCCTTGCAGCGACATAACCTCATATTTGGCACTCAGAAACTGGCCCGTATTTATTACTGTTTGCAGCATCTTGCAGCTATGTAACTGATTTCCAATGTTTTTTTTCTGAAAACCAGAATTTCCAGTTTCCAGAAAAAAAACCCAAAACAATGAGGTCATTTAACAACTGCAGATTTGCTTAATGACTACTGTAAAAAAAGTTGAAAAATCAGGTCCAGTCATGTGATGACATGCTTTAAAACCATCACGACTTACAACCAAAATTGTGGACTCAATTATGGTCGTAAGTCAAGGACTACCAGTAGCTCATGTCAACCAAAAAGTAGTTGCTACAATGTTATCTTGTAATACAAGAAATATAATTCCTTAGAACCAAGTATTGTACTTATTCGTGTACATATTTGCATTTCTACTCGTTTAAAATTCCTTTCTTTACAAAATCACTGCACATGAAACAAAATTTAGTGGTATAACACATAATTTGCATCCTAAACTCAATCAGCTTATTTAAAAGATGAATTTGCAGAGAATGTGGAAGGCTTAGGATCAGAACTGAAAAGACCATTTAGTCTACAGCAGGAGTCCCCAACCTATGGCCATCGGGCCCCAGGAATAGCTGACGAGCCCCACCTGTCACAGTAGCACCGCCATGCGGGCACTAGCAGTCCCATTTGCACATATTTGGGGATGCTAGCACTGTTGCCAGCATCACACGGGTGCTAGCGGCCCATTTGCGCATGCATGTGGGCATTAGCACATATGCCACGTGTGCACGGCCTGTTTGCGCATGCTAGTGCTGCAATTGTGCATGTGCCTGTGTGCACATTTCCCTGCTGCTCCCTTTCCTTCCAGGCTGCCAAGCTGGAAAGGTTGGGGACCTCTGGTCTACAGAGTTTACAGCTGTATTCAGTTCAAGAATCAAAATCTGCCTGAAAGCATCCAGAAAAAAAGAAATCTGAAATTGGCTTCATTGTCAAATTGCTCTCTGGAAGGGTTTCTAGTCTTCAACTTGAACCTGCCTTCTTGTAATTTATGCCTGTTCTTCAACATCCTCTACCGTAAGGACAATCCTGAATAGGCCCATTGTTTAAAAAGCCTTCCTGCTCCATACAGACAGCGCTGGGTTAAAGGATCTAGTGGTGTGATCTGACATGTTTATCAGCGTATCCAATCAATAATTCTTCAGGGTCTCAGTAAGCAAACAATGTGTCAGCAACATAGACAGTGGTCGTTTTGAAGTAGTTACTGATTTCTGACAAAGCACATTCCCACCCTTTCGAAGAAAGAGATTTGGGGGGGGGGGAAGAGGGGGGTTTCCAAACAGGCAAGCCAAAGTGCATTAGCTATCAAATATTTCTAGGAAGAAACAAGAGAGCATCCTTTTTAATTCCAGGGAATAATTTCAGGGGTTTGGAGCCGGAGGCTTGAAAAATCCTATCTTCCGAAAATAGCGAACAAGAAAGGGCACTGAGACTACAGTGATGCTGATCCGGACAGGAGCAAACAGTTTATGAATAGCGTAGGCCAATACAAAAGTGCTTGTTCCAGCAGCTAGCTTGGATCGCACAAGGGCTTCATCAAATCCCAGCTTGAAGAGAATAGTGGTCATGTCCACTCCGCTAAAAGGGAGAAGAGGCGGGAGAAACAGATGACACGTTAGTAGCATGGAAGTGAATGATTTTGGGTTTTTTAAAAAAAAATTATACAGGTGCTCCTCATTACAATCATTTGTTTAGTGATTGTTCGAAGTTTACAATGAAACTTGAAAAAAGGGACTTACAAGGGATACTTGCACTTACGACTGCAACCCACAGTCCTGTAATCAAAATTTGGGTATTTGGCAACCAGACATGTATTTATAAAGGTTGCAGCATTCCGGGATCATGTAATCACCATTTATGACCTTCCTGGCTGGCTTTGACCAACAAAGTCAATGGAGGAAGCCAGATTCATTTAATGACTCTTTGATTCACTTAACAACTGCAGTAATTCGCCTAATAACCATGGCAAAAAAGATCATAAAATCAGGTATGACTCATTGTACAACTACTTTGCTTAGCAACAAAAAAATCAGTCCCAATTGTAGCTGTAAGTAAATCTTGGCTGTGTTCCTGTTCAAAATCAGAATTGGAAGGGACTTGGAGGTCTTTTAGTCCAGCCCCTTTCTCAAGTAGGAGATCCTATACCATTTCAGACAAGTGATTGTCCAGTTTCAAAATCCTCCAGTGATGAAACACTATGCAAGTATCAAGCCTGGAGAAGCCTGTTCCATGGTTCAGAAGACAACAGATGAGTCAGTGAGCCTCTCCTTTATTTTCATGCACCTATAGACTTGTTCTGCCTCTGATTGAACTGTGGAATGTGGTGTCCTGGTTTGTTAAATAACTTGAATGAAAAGAAAATTGGTGCTGTGGAGTAGGGTTGTACCGAGCTTCAAAGAGCTGAGCTAGTCACTCAATCTAGCTAGAAGCGTGTTCTCAATCTCAGCAACTGGGGCATTCTGGGAGTTGTAGTTCACACCTTAAAATTTCTGAGATTGGAAACTGCTCTAGAACAGGGGTGTCAAACTGCCGGCCCGCGGACCGGACGTGTCATCCGGAAGCCGCGCCCACCCCATTGCCGGCAATGGCAAAACTCTCCTGATACGTTGCGCAACATCATGTGACATCGTGAGTTTGACATGTCTGCTCTAGACCCTCCTGTGAATCACCTACTAGAGCAAGGCAAGGGCTGCTGAGGTAAGTATTGTGTTTGCAGTCCTTATTATCATAACTCATTTGAATTTATTAGCTACCCAACCCCCAATGATCTTTGCCCAAGGCAGAAGTTGGGTGATTCTGGGTGGACAAAACTGGCTTGAGTTAAAAGTCCTCCAAATTGGGTGGTTCTGGCTTGTGCTATAGGCAATACAAAGGCTGTCCAATCCGGTAGTAGTCAGGGATGGAAGAGAAAACTGAGGAGTCTCAATACCTGAAGTAATTTGCAGCTGCCCAAATTCCAGCAGGCTTAAGTTCAATATTTAAGGGAATTGGGAAACACAGGTTCAAGTCCATCCACAACCATGGAAGTTCACTAGATGTTTTGGCATGGCCTAACTTTAAGAGATGGTATGGAGAAAAATTAGTTTGTGTGGCACCCTAATATCCTGAAGATAAATTCAGCTTAACAGTTTTTAAATGAAAAAAAAAAAGACCTCTCGTTTTCTTTTTGTAAATGCGGGAAGATCAGAAAGGGAGAACATGCCAACCTGATTTACAGTATAGCGATCAAACTTCCAGTGCACCAATAACAGCAACAATAATAATGCTTACCTTGACACAACCAGATAAAACATTCCCAGAGATATCAAAGAAATCCCAATATGAAAAGTTACTCCAACAGCTCCATATTCCTTAAAAATTTTCTTCAACTGATGTGATTTATTTGGTTTCTTCCCATTTTCCTGGCTGGGATCTGTGAGATTTTCTGAGGATGTACCTGGAGTCTGAATAGTGGAGGTAAGTAAGAGAGAGAGAAGATTGATTGTTATTACTATACAAATAAGTCATTTTATTTCTAGAGTAACGCTTTTGTTTTAGAGTAACGCTTTTGTTTTCTCTTTGGAGTTTTCCTTCATTTTTGTGTAAAATCTATTTCAGAGCTAACTCTTCAAAATGATGGGAAAATTCTACCAATTGGGGGGCAATGACCTTCAGAAAGATTGCTATGAAAGGATACAAATAGAGATGTAAGATCATAGAAAGCAATACTTTCCCTACTCCAACTGAGATCTTTAAAGAGTTGTTAGTGTTCCTCATGTCTCAAACTCATTGATCACCAGTTTAACTCGTTGTGTTGACTGGAAGTTAATTTGTTTTATTCCGTTTTTATAGTTTTGTAACTCATCTGTAAGAACTTTATCTTACAAAGGTTGGCCTATACAGGTAGTCCTTGACTTAGGACCACCATTAAGCCCAAATTTTATTTTGCTAAGTGAGTTATTTTGTTAAGTGAGTTTTGCCCCATTTAACGACTTTTCTTGCCACAGTTGTTAAGTGAATCACTGGCAATCACAGTTGTTAAATTAGAAACCCCGTAGTTAAGTGAATCTGGTTTCCCCATTGACTTTGCTTGTCAGAACATTGCAAAAGTTGATCACATGACCCTGGGACACTGTAACATTCATAAGTGTGAGTCAGTTGCCAAACATCTGAATTTTGATTGCATGACCATGGGGATACTGCAACGGTCGTACGTGTGAAAAACAGTTATAAGTCACTTTTTTCAGTGCTGTTGTAACTTTGAACGGTCCTTAAATGAACTATTGTAAGTTGAGGACTACCTCTACATATGTATACTGTATGTACCTTTGTAAATGTATTTCCTCTGTACATGTAATGCACAAAAAAGCGGGATATTAGAATGCATGGTTCCAATCTTTCCTGATTATTCAAAAGCTGATTGCAAGTAGACAGCTATGAACCTTTAAGTCAGTGGTTCTCAACCTTTTTAATGCCGCGACCCCAACCGGTCGTAAGTCGAGGACTAAACCGGTTGTAAGTCGAGGACTACCCAACCGGTCGTAAGTCGAGGACTTTCCCTGCCCGGGAGCGCCGCGCATGCATGGTTCCGCCCCCTGTGCCGGCCGAGGCGTAGCTGGCAAGTGGCAGAGATGGAGCAGGCCGACCACCAGCTGGCCCAGCCCAAGGGAGGTAAGGCACCCGCCGGAAAAGGGGAAAAAAATGGCGGACAAAAAAAAATGGCGGACAGCCTTGCTTGGCGACCCCCATGAAATGGTCGATCGACCCCAAATGGGGTCCCAACCCACAGGTTGAGAACCACTGCTTTAAGTCTAGGTCTAGATCAAAACAATGTTTCCCCCCCCAAGATTCTGCAAATCCTGGGAGAAGAAAGGAACTTCTATACTGCTGCAGGCAATGTGCACAGTAATGCACCTATCTGCTTGTCACCGCTTAGAGGATGGTGATGTAAAATAACTTATCGGGGAACAAAGCTTTGGCTTTCCTGCTCCTGCTGTGTACTGCAGTATCTATGCTCGCAACAAAACATGGCAGATTGCAGAAAGGAAATGATTGGCAATTGCTTGCTGACAACACTTTTTATTAGGCTGGCTGCAGAAATACATGGATTTCACAACAGCTCACTGGGGTCAGAGAGACAGCAAAGATAGCATTTATCCTAGCTTTTTAATGAAAATGTGCAAATCACCCAAGCTGCTGTTTTTATATTAACAACGAGTCAAGTACCCTGGGAGCCTACAAATTTTAATAAATTTCCCAAAGGCCATGCCTACATTGCAAAATCAATTAAATTATCTCAATAGAAAATTGTGTGTGTGTGTGTGTGTGTGTGTGTGTGTGTGTTTTAAGAAAACAGAGAGGCATTAAGAGCAAAGAGGAAATCTAGCAGACCCTGGTGTTTACTGTCCCCCATCCAATAGTTCCTCCATAGACTTTAACTATGGATTGTAAAGAAAGATGTTTTTAAGAAATATTTTAAACGTGTTACACAGCAGGTTTGAAAACTATTGTTTTGCATTACTTATCTTAATACTGTATTTTTAATTATTTTTTAAATCCTCTGATATTCATATGCTATAAAATTTGATGTTCAAGGCATGGACCTTTTAAAATAATAATCATTTGTTTTTTTAAAAAATGGTTGCACAGAAATATATACCTCGGCCTTTCTTATCTTTCATCACAACTAAAGCTTCACAAATTTCCCAGCCATAACAGTCAAGCATCATGCTGGCTGGAAACATGAGAATGAAAATCTCACACATATGGAGGGCAGCGAATTGGAAAAAGCTGTTAGACCTGCCTGATTGGCACAACTTACAATCCATAAAATAAGTCGGCTAAGCAGAAGTGATAGGCATAACTCTCTTTTAATGATGCGTAAAGACAGATCTCCCTCTGTGCTATGTAAGGGGCTGCAGATACTGATAAGCTAAGACCATCACAAAGCCTTGGTGTACAGAAAGTAATTGAGTGTGGACTTTTCTTCAGATTTCCTTGACAAGAAAATTCACTGTTGTGCTTCAGGAAATAATAACATAAACAATTACATTAGTATGTTTCTAATTAAGATCAGCACAGGATCACTGATTCATTTGCCACTTCGTAATAGATTGTAAGTGTAACTTTAGTGCATTTTATTTTATTTATTAGGTTTTTATTTCACCTTTATTACTTTATTAGTAACTCAAGGCGGTGAACATACCTAATACTTCTTNTCTATACCAGGGGTAGGCAACCTTGGCTCTTTTATGACTCGTGGACTTCAACTCCCAGAATTCCTGAGCCAGCCAAGCTGGCTCAGGAATTCTGGGAGTTGAAGTCCACGAGTCATAAAAGAGCCAAGGTTGCCTACCCCTGGTCTATACATATGTTGTATATAGTATGTTTTAAATGTGTGTTATGTATGTGTACACATTGAGAGGAAGCAACTAAATTTCATTTTTAATGTGTGCCATTGTGCCCACAAGAAAAAATGACAATAAAGGTTATCTAAATCTAAATCATCTGTCAATTGACTACATGCTAAGAGGCATTTCTGGTCTCCCAAATTCTCTCCCATGTAATCTAATTTGTAAAGCAGCACAACTGAGGAGAACTAAACTGCATTTTTATCACTCTACTAAAGAAGTTAAGCCTCCAGAGACTTACTGATTTGCTGTCTAGATTTAAGGCAATGGGAAGCATTGTGTTTGATCTTGACAAAGCAAGAGTTTTTTCAAAAAGGTTACCCTATAAATGCTCTACATCAGGCATGTCAAACTCGCGACATCACATGACATTGCGCAACGTATCGGGACTTTTCCCCCATTGCCAGCAATGGGGTGGGCACGGTTTTGGCGTGACACATCCAGCCCGCAGGCCAGCAGTTTGACATGCCTGCTCTACATTCAGTAGAACTGAAAATAGCATGAGATGGAAGGTGCAAAGAAAGCTTAACTATCAATGTCTCAGCAGATGATTTTTCTCCAATCATTATCCCTACAATAAACCTCAGTCATGTACTGAAATCAAGATGTTATTAACTAATTTAATTATTACTGTCAAGTTGATATTGACTCATAGTAACCCTGTAAATAATTGGCCTGAACCATGTTCAATCTTCAGTTAGGTGGCTAATGGTTGCTAAAGAGGAATCCATAACATTGCCTCTTTTCCTCCTTTATCCTTTCTTCAGCCTGATCAAATGTATCTGATTTTTTTTTCATGACATAACTACAATATGAAAGTTGTGATTTTAAGCTTCTAATGAAAATTTAGGTTTGATGTCCTCCAATAATGATTTGTTCATCAGGCAGTATATGGTACCCACAGTAGCCTTTGCCAATATTGCAATTCAACAGTATCCATTTTCTTCCTGTCATATTTCTTTATTGCCAAACTTTCACATGCATTGAATGATTATTTTCCATTAAGTTGTTATAAACATTTAGCAGCTACATAGGTAGATTTTCTCCATGTCCTAAACCTAGCTTTTCAGGGCTTCCAATGATGCATCTCTTGCCACTGTAAGTTTATCCACTTTCTGATCATCCCCATCTTCTCTTTCCTTCCATTCATTTCACTATTATAAAAAATAGGTCTGAACAAGTCAGGACTTTGTACACAAAAAGATGTCTCTGAACATTTAAGGTCCTAAGTCCTCCATTTGATTTGTTACCTATTTGTAGTTTTATTATTGACTAGCTGTACCCAGCCACGCGTTGCTGTGGCTCAGTCTGGTTAAATGGAAAAGAAAGAAAAGAGAAAATGCACGTTTGTAATATGTTTAATTTCACAATGCTAGCGTGTGTTGCTTTTATGTCCAACAGATGGCGCTGTTTTTTTAAAAAAGCATGTTTTTACCTGACACAAGTGTGACATCTATACATCTATATAATAGTAGGTATATAAAAACACACGCATATTCGAATGCAACGTTGTGTCAAAATTTCAAAGCAATCGGTGAAGAACTTTCGGAGATTTAAGATTTTGAACAAACGAACATTTACATTTTTATTTATATAGATTATTGATCCANGTGCTTCAGGAAATAATAACATAAACAATTACATTAGTATGTTTCTAATTAAGATCAGCACAGGATCACTGATTCATTTGCCACTTCGTAATAGATTGTAAGTGTAACTTTAGTGCATTTTATTTTATTTATTAGGTTTTTATTTCACCTTTATTACTTTATTAGTAACTCAAGGCGGTGAACATACCTAATACTTCTTGCTTCTCGTATTTTCCCACAGCAACAACCCTGTGAGGTGGGCTGGACTGAGAGACAGTGACTGGCCCAGTCACCCAGCTGGCTTTTATGCCTAAGGCAGGACTAGAACTCACAGTCTCATGGTTTCTAGATCAGCACCTTAACCACGACACCAAAATAGCTGTTATTTTGCTATTATCCCATGTTCAGGCACAGTGTCATAGGCCTCTGAACATCACTTTTTATTCCTTTATTCAGTTCATAGGCTGCCAGACTCCCAATGACTCTGGGCACCTTACAATTAAAAATAAATATCGCCCCCAACAACATATAATCAAGGAAAACCCATTCAGCAGGGGTTCAAACATCACCCTGGGAAAATAGGTCTTTAATAGCTTCTGAAAGTCTTTAGGGTGGAATCCATCCAGAACCAGATATTAATCCACACATAGCAGAGAGAAGCAAGTTTGTAGGTTCAGGAGTATATCTAAAATGTTCAGAAGCTATGGCTGCATACCCATAGAATGGCTTGCCATGGCAGGCTTGTAAATTTATAAAAAAAAAGCTGTAGATTTTGATATGGAACAATATTGTCCTCTAAATATTTATACGTTACTTATAAATATGTTACTCTAAATATTTATATGTTACTTATATGTAAGGGTGTAGGTCTATACCAGGGGTAGGCAACCTTGGATCTTTTATGACTCGTGGACTTCAACTCCCAGAATTCCTGAGCCAGCCAAGCTGGCTCAGGAATTCTGGGAATTGAAATCCACGAGTCATAAAAGGGCCAAGTTTGAAGACTCCTGTGCTAGGGCAATATCCACATCTACAATCAATCTGTGGATGAGGCAGATTTGTTACACCAGCATCAAAAGCATCCAGAACCCAGGGTCACCAAAAATCCAGTTACGTGCTCAGGAATTCTGGGAATTGAAGTCCACGAGTCATAAAAGAGCCAAGGTTGCCTATCCCTGGTCTATACATATGTTGTATATAGTATGTTTTAAATGTGTGTTATGTATGTGTACACTTTGAGAGGAAGCAACTAAATTTCATTTTTAATGTGTGCCATTGTGCCCACAAGAAAAAATGACAATAAAGGTTATCTAAATCTAAATCATCTGTCAACTGACTACATGCTAAGAGGCATTTCTGGTCTCCCAAATTCTCTCCCATGTAATCTAATTTGTAAAACTGTACAACTGAGGAGAACTAAACTGCACTTTTATCACTCTACTAAAGAAGTTAAGCCTCCAGAGACTTACTGATTTGCTGTCTAGATTTAAGGCAATGGAGAGCATTGGATTTGATCTTGACAAAGCAAGAGTTTTTTCAAAACTCTACATCAGGCATGTCAAACTCGCGACGTCACATGACATTGCACAACGTATCGGGACTTTTCCCCCATTGCCAGCAATGGGGTGGGCACGGTTTTGGCGTGACACATCCAGCCTGCAGGCCAGCAGTTTGACATGCCTGCTCTACATTCAGTAGAACTGAAAATAGCATGAGACGGAAGGTGCAAAGAAAGCTTAACTATCAATGTCTCAGCAGATGATTTTTCTCCAATCATTATCCCTACAATAAACCTCAATCATGTACTGAAATCAAGATGTTATTAACTAGTTTAATTATTACTGTCAAGTTGATATTGACTCATAGTAACCCTGTAAATAATTGGCATGAACCATGTTCAATCTTCAGTTAGGTGGCTAATGGTTGCTAAAGAGGAATCCATAACGTTGCCTCTTTTCCTCCTTTATCCTTTCTTCAGCCTGATCAAATGTATCTGATTTTTTTTTTCATGACATAACTACAATATGAAAGTTGTGATTTTAAGCTTCTAATGAAAATTTAGGTTTGATGTCCTCCAATAATGATTTGTTCATCAGGCAGTATATGGTACTCACAGTAGCCTTTGCCAATATTGCAATTCAACAGTATCCATTTTCTTCCTGTCATATTTCTTTATTGCCAAACTTTCACATGCATTGAATGATTATTTTCCATTAAGTTGTTATAAACATTTAGCAGCTACATAGGTAGATTTTCTCCATGTCCTAAACCTAGCTTTTCAGGGCTTCCAATGATGCATCTCTTGCCACTGTAAGTTTATCCACTTTCTGATCATCACCATCTTCTCTTTCCTTCCATTCATTTCACTATTATAAAAAATAGGTCTGAACAAGTCAGAACTTTGTACACAAAAAGATGTCTCTGAACATTTAAGGTCCTAAGTCCTCCATTTGATTTGTTACCTATTTGTAGTTTTATTATTGACTAGCTGTACCCAGCCACGCGTTGCTGTGGCTCAGTCTGGTTAAATGGAAAAGAAAGAAAAGAGAAAGCGCACATTTGTAATATGTTTAATTTCACAATGCTAGCGTGTGTTGCTTTTACGTCCAACAGATGGCGCTGTTTTTTTTAAAAAAGCATGTTTTTACCTGACACAAGTGTGACATCTATACATCTATATAATAGTAGGTATATAAAAACACACGCATATTCGAATGCAACGTTGTGTCAAAATTTCAAAGCAATCGGTGAAGAACTTTCGGAGATTTAAGATTTTGAACAAACGAACATTTACATTTTTATTTATATAGATTATTGATCCA